ACTGTTAATGTGTTGATCAGTATCACAGACATTTTTCCTCTTTTTCTTTAAAAAAAAATTTTTGTTTTATGGGATAACTCTGTGGTGGTAGAGGAGAGTGATACAATGTGATATTTAGGGAATATAAAAATAAAAACAATACACACATTTATTTACATTCTTATAAGTACTACTAATTTATTTTTTTTCCTAATGTCAGCATATTAGTATTGGACTTGGTAGTGCCCCAGGTAGGTGTGATATCTCTCTCCCCTCCAAACTTTCCAAGAGGTAATTACTCAATTTCAAAATTTCAGTTAGATATTTTGGTCAGATCAAATCTAGATCTTGTTTTGCTAGGCAAAAGATAATTATGACAAGAATTACTATCAATCTTGACTATATTGTGAAGGTAAATCTATTGCTTCATAATGAGTGAAAAGAAAACTTCACATGGAAATCTACAGATCACTTGGGCAAATTGTCAGTGTTGTCTAGCCCGTGTGTAAAAGTTAGGGGATGGGATGAATGAGAAGTCCAGGCTTAGGAAATAAAGGATTCCCAGAGCATGGGGAGGAAAGATAACCATAGAAGGAACCAAGCAGCTGAGAAAAAGGATATATTATATATATATTTTATATATACATATTTTTTTTTCATAGGAGAAAAAGATTCAAGAAAGGAGTCAGTAGTAACACTCATGGCCTCATGTATGTATCCACAAATGTCTGAAGTTTAGGCAAAAAAAAAAACCCAAGAGAAACTAGAGGTCCTAATACAGTGAGACAAATTTGACCTTGAAAGTATACCTAGACTTGATGGATATGGAACTCATGACTAGACTATGGTTCTGGAGAGGTAAACCTTATTCAAAAGAAACAGAATAGTTAAGATGGATTTGGGTAACACAGAGCAGCGAATAAAGACAGACAGTATTTGGATACAAGTCAAAGGCACAAGAAATAGAAGTGATTTTGTTATTGGAGTATACAGAGCACCTGGGCAGAAAGAGGAAAGAGATGAGGAGTTAGGAAATAGATCACAAACAAGTCTGGCACAGAGATGTGATAGAGTAGTGACTTCAATTATCCAGACTTCTGCTGGAGCTCTGTTTTTGTCAATAACGTAGCAACTAATAACTTCTTGCCTTGCCTAAGTGATATGATAATTCATCTTTCAAATAGTGGAGGGACCAACAAGAGGAAATTTTAGTTTGGATTTGATTTTCACTAAAAAAGGACTGGTTGCTGGAGTGGAAATGATGGAAATCTTGGTGAGGCAGTGACCACTCCATCCTATAATTTGTAATAGAGAAGGAGAAGAAATCTAGGCATAGTCTGACATGAACTCTAGATTTGGGGAAAGCAGATATCAAAGAACTCAGAGGAAAGATAGATTCCATGGAATAAAATGTTTCAAGGAAAGTCAGCCCAGGAGGGATGAGAAATATTAAAGAATGAAGTTCTCAAGACACAAAGAAAAACAACTTCAATGAGGAGGAAAAAATGAGATTTGTCTGGAGACCAATGTGAATTCGCAAGGAATGTACAAACCAACTTAGATTTAAAAAATATCTATATTTATATCTATCTATGTCTATATCTACCTCTCTCTCTGTATACACACACACACACACACACACACACACACACACACACACACACACACATAGAATATAGAAGCAAGGCCAGGTGACAGAGGATGAATATGAGTGTGACATGGTCCTAAAAATTGATCAATCAATAAACATTAAGTACCTACAAAAAAAAAGAAGCAAAAGATAGTTCTTGCCCTTAAGGAGTTTACAATCTAATGGGTAAGACAATATGCAAACAAATATAAACAAAGCGAACTATATATAAGATAAATAGGAAATAACAGAGAGAAAGCACTGGAATTAAGAGGGATTGAGGAAGGCTTCCTGTAGAAGGTGGGGATTTTAGTTGTGATTTAAAGGAAGCCAAGGAGGTCAGTAGTCTCAGTAGTCAGAGAAGAGGAGGAGGACAGTTCCAGACCTGGGGGACAGCCAGAGAAAATGCCTGGAATGGAGAGACATCCTTGTTCGTGAAACAGCCAGGAAGGCCAGTGTTACTGGATTGAATGGCACTATTAAGGAATGTTAAGGGGTCCCCTGAACTTGTCTTTTGGAGTTGTCATATTTTCTAGAAACACTGGATCCAGAGTATGCAAGAGGCCCTGAATGTGTCCAGGATGAAGCCCCCACTCCCACCCCAGCTGACATGATGTGTTGTTTGCATCCCAAGGTGGACTCCCTGTGCGTCCTTGGGAGTCAAGACAGGTGTCAGGCAGTCCACACTGGGCTGAGAAACTGCTTGTGTAGCTGGGATCCTTGTAGATAAGCAGACTGTCAAATCATCATGGTCTAGCAGTTCCCAAGAGAGAAGAATGTGTCTTTTGCTCCTCCCCTTGTGGGGGTGGTTGTCCTTTCCCCACCTTTACTATACCTTTCCCTCCATGTGCCTTTAGGTCGAGATTTGTGTTTTATCTTCCTTTCTTTGTTGTATTGTTATAAATATGCAAACTTATGCGTGAACTCTTTGGGTTCCACTTGCATGTTCATTCCTCTTGTAATAGACCTAGTTCTCATGTAAGTTTTGTGAAGTTGTGATTGCTTATTGACAGTACCTAGTGGACAGTAAGGTGTAAGAAGATTGGAAAGAAGGGCCTAAGTTATGAAGGCTTTGAATGCCAAACAGAATATTTTGTATTTGATCCTGGAGGCAATGGGGAGCCACTGGAGCTTATTAAATATTGGGTAATATGATCAGACCTGCCCTTTAGGAAAATCACTTTATTAGCCAAATAAAGTATGGATTGGTGTGGGGAGATTTGGGACAGGCAGATCTGCCAGCAGGCTATCACAGTAATCCAGGTGTGAGGTGATGAGGGTTTGCACTAGGGTGATGGCAGGGTCAGAGGATAGACAGGGAGATAGGAGAGATGTTGCAAAGGTGAAATAACAGGCTAACTTGACAACAGCTTGGATATTGGTGGGGGGAGGTAAGTGATAACGAGGAGTCCAGGATGAGTCCTATATTGAAAGCCTGAGGGATTGGGAGGATGGTGTTACCCTCTACAGTAATAGAGAAGATAGGAGGTGGGGAGTGTTTAGGGGGAAATAGAATTAATTCTATTTTGGATATGTTGATTTTAAGATGTCTATTAGACATCCAGTTTGAGATGTCTGAAAGGTAATTGGAGATGTGAGATTGGAGGTTAGCAGAGGTTGGAGATTCATCAGCATAGAGACATAATAAAATCCCTGATTGCTGATGAGGTCACCAAATGAAGCAGTATAGAAGGAGAAGAGAAAAGGTCCCAGGACCAAACCCTGAGGGATGCCTGTGATTAGAGGACATGATCTGGAAGAGGATCCAGCAAAGGATACTGAGGAGTAGTGTCAGATAGGTAGAAAGAGAACCAGCAGAGAGTGGTGTCCAGAAAATCTAGAGAGAAGAGAGTATCAAGGAGGAGAGAGTAATCAACAGTGTCAAGGCTACAGAAAGGTCAAAGAGAATGAGGATTGAGAAAAGGCCATTGGATTTGACAACTAAGAGATTATTGGTAACTTTGGAGAGGGCAGTTTCAGTAAGGAAGGTTAAAGTTCAGAATGATCTAAGGCTTCTGGAGAAAGTTAAGGACAATAAAAATGATTCTTTTTCAGCTATATTGGGGTAAAAGAGGATGAGATGGATAGGATGTGGATAACTGACAATCCCAAGGCAGAGCTGCTCAGCGCTTCTTTGTTTCTGTTTTATCTGCAAGGCACAAGCTGTACTGAGAATAAAAGGAACTGATTCCCAAGGTAAGTAAAGAGACAGTAAGAGAGCACTTGCTTGCCCTTGATGAATTCAGGTCTCTGGCCTGGATAGCTTACATCCTTGGATCCTATAAGAACTGGCAGCTGTGATTGCTGATCCACTGTATGTAAAATTTGAAAGATCATGGCAAATGAGAGAGATACCATAAGATTGGAGAAGAGTAAATTTCAAAAAAGGGAAGAGAACATATTTGCAAATTATAAGCTAATGAGCTTGACTTAATTGACATAATTGATGATTCTGAGGTGGGAAAAATTCTCCCCTTCTTCCCTTCTCTGCCCTTTCCTCTCTCCATCCCTGGACAAGCAGAGAGTTGATAGCCTTGGAAGGACCCCAGGGGTTCACTAACCAGATGCCATCTTCCATGAGGATAATAGGGGCAGTCATGGAGAAAGCCATTTTATCTCCAGGTTCCTAATCTCTGAGGGAAAATCATCTACTGTATTTGCAGTAAAATAAGTGGTTGGAAGGTGTGAGATAGGGAACAAACATGTGAGCTAAGTCTGGAAAAGTAGATTCAATTTCCTTTAAAAAATCCAATAAAGCCAGATTATTGAGGGCAGTAAATGCCAAGCTAAGGAGTGTGGATTTATTTAATAAGCAGTGGCTAGCCACTGAGGATTTCTGATCAAGGAAGTAATGTAACAAGAGCTGTGCATTTGGAAGATGACTCTGGGAATATGGGTGGATGAGAAAGAGAGAGAGAGAGAGAGAGAGAGAGAAACATCTCTCTGTTAGTAGCTCAGTTACTGTAATGACCCAAGTGAAATATGAAAGGGCCCATACCGGAGTGTTGGCAAGAGGAATGGAAAACAGTGAATGGCTAGTGTTAGTAGTATCTTCAAACATTGCCAACAAGCCTTACACTTTCCTGTTCTGTGCCTTTATGCTTTTTCTTCCTTCCTTCTCTTCACCCACTGAATTCCTACTTAGACTTTAAATCCCACTTCAAATGTCATCTTTTCCAGGAAACCTTCTCATCCCTGCTGCTCTTCCCCTACTGTTAATAACCTATCCACTTGGATACCATATACTACTTTGTTTTGCATCTGTCAAATGCACTGATCATGCTATATTGAGTATTATCATTAACTGTGTCTTATCTTCCAACTAGAATGTGAGAGTCAGAAGTATAGGGATTATGTATCTTTCCTAGCATTATGCTGTACGGGCATCAAAAAGGTTTAATAACATTTATTGAATTGAAAGTACTTACAACAATAAAGTCATTATCAGTGAATGTTAACTGACCACCCACTCTGCAAATGCTTGTAGAGGTCAGTGAAGGTTTGACATGTCACAATTTACAGTATCTTAAAGGTGTCAGATCCTCCTTGTTCCATCTCTTTTCACCATTCTGGTTATTCTGACCTCACAGTTATCCCTGAAACTTTACTATTGTTGCTGCCCCAAAGGTACTCCCTTTCTCTCTTCAATTGCCTCTTCACAGGAAAGGAATCTTGTGCTGAGATGGAGGCAAAGCCTGATTTTCTGCCTCTGCCCACACATGGGTTCCCAGGTTGGCACTTTTGCTCACATTGTTCCATGTGGGTGAAGTATTCTCTCTTCAAGGCCTTTAAAACCCAAATCAAAGGTCTCCTACTATAAGAAGCTTACTCCTTGCTGGTGGTAATCTTTTCCTTGGTATCTCACATAAGTCAATTGCAATTAACCTGAATATTTTGTGGTGTAGAGAACAATCCCGGCAAAAAACACAATGTTCCACAGAACAAGGTTCTTTAGATCCTGTGAAGAGAATGTCTTAATCTGTCAGTTAGACTCTCTCTGCTTCCTCACATCATAAATTCTCCCAGAAGTCTGATTGCTCTACTACAGAATTTGGGGTATCAGAAAGCTGCTAAGTTTATAGGTTCTGGTGTTAACTCCTCCATATCCTTTGAATACTATAGGTTGTTACTGTCAGTCTTTGTGGACCATTGTTTCCATCCTTTGTGAAAACGAGACAATTCATTTCTGCAGCTCTCATTGGCTAGCACATAAATGATGGGGTCTGCTATGCTGTGGAAAGTGCACAGACATAGGAATACCATCGAAGAGGTATTCATCTCGGTTTCCAAAGCACACACTTTTTTCTTTTCTGCTTTATAATAGGAAAAGGCTGCAGCTTTAACAAGAAGTACAAAGTGATAGGGAGCAAAACAGACCAGGAAAGTGGTAACTATAGAAATAGCTAAGTATTTCACCTTGGCCTTCTGGCGTGCACTCAAGCTTGTGCTGGTTTTGATACTCCTGAAGATCTTGTAGTTAGTGAAAATGATGATGGAGAGAGGAATGGCAAACCCTACTACAAAGCGAGAGTAAGAATAACTAGCTATCTTCCTATCCATTGGTAAGGTCTCAAAACAAGTTTTATTTTCTTTCATTTCAAAAACTGGATAGTGAACTACTCCCACAATAAAAAAGATTGCTATTGAAATGAACACAGCTATTTTTACGTGTCTGTACCCTCTGGATTCCAAGGCATATGTCACAGCAATGAAACGATCACAAGAAATGCAACACAAAAATAAAATGCTGACATAGATGTTACAGAAAAATACAAATGCAATTATCCTACAGGTCTGAAAACCCATTGTCCATTCATGATTATCCCTGATGTAAACAATCCAGAAGGGTAAAGTTGCCACGTAGAGCAATTCACAGATGGCCAAGCAGAAGATATATACGGCCAACACATTTCCCTGTAGCACCTGCAGGAAGGAGAACCAGGCAGTGAAACAATTCGTGGGGAGGCCCAACACACATACACTACTGTACATCACAGTGAGGAATATCTTGCTCTCTTCATAAGACACAGTGCAGGAGTCCTGGGAGGAGTTGGATGAGGCCATGGAGGGTGGCAGGAATTTCAGATCAGTGACCTTCCCTCTGGACAAAGCAAAAATGATCATCCATGAAAATTTCCTGAAAAGAATTTCTGTTGTTATGATCAGGTCATCTTTGCAAACTCTTGAAGGTACAAGGTGACGGATAAACTAGTAACTGAGGTTCAGGGAGAAGAAATGATTTGCCACACAGATAGTAAGTGGAAAATGGTATCTGAACTTGCCTTCTCTGACTCCAAATCTAGGATTCTTTTCACTATATAAAGTATATTAAAAAAAAATAAACATTTATGTAGTGTCTACTATATGACAGGCATTGTGCTAAGTGCTTTATAAATATTATTTTATTTGATTCTCACAACAACTCTACAAGGTAGGTGCTATTATTATGCCTGTTTTACAGTTGAGGAAACTAAGGCAAGCAGAGGTTAAATGACTTGCCCAGGGTCACACCACTAGCATCTGAGGCTAGAATGAAACTTAGGTCTTCCTGACTAGGTTCAGTGCATTTTTTTTATTTACATAAAACTTATATATGAAAAGAGGAGGGGAAGGATGGAGGGATAGAGAGGAGAGAAGGAGAGGAGAGGAGAGAGAAGGAAAAAGAGAGAGAGAAAGAGAGGTGATTGGGGTGGTGAGGAGAAGTTTAGTTATTTCCTCTTTCTCCTTCCCCTCCCCACTCCTTAAGTCACTACTTCCTTTGTCTTGCCCTTTGGGTGTGGTTTTCATCCCAGTTTGCTCACAGCCTTCTTCCCCCCACCAAAACTGTTGACTCACTTGCATAAGACAATCCAGACCCATTTTTTTCCCCTCAATGCTTTGGGAAGATAGAAAATATGAATCAAGAATTCTGTCTTATTGGGTCTACCTCCCCCAATACCAGAGAATACTCACCCCACCAAATAAAAGAACTTGTTTATCTCTAGTAAATTGATATTGCAGTTTTTTAAAAAAACAAACAAACCCCAAAACACTTACTTCTCTCTCTCCCTGAGGTTGTCCCCTCTCTATTGTCTTTCTCCGTTGTACTTGCATAATGATACAAGGACTTATAGGTCCTTTCTCTGTTCTATTTCTGGCTCTATAGACTTGTCACCATGCCTAAGCTGCCTTCTAACCCTGGAACATCCCTCTGTCCTGGTAGCCCCCTTCTCCCATTGATGAGTCCTTCCTGGAACATCCATTTTGAGGACAGTCCCAAATCAGTCAGCTTTTGTCTTCTGACTGTGCTTCTGACTCTCAAGAATTAATCACCATGCTCCCAAGTGGGTGAAGATCTATTCTCAAACCCCTCTTCAACTCCCACTTTTCAGATCCCTTTTATGTATTATCTTCCTTCATTAGAATGTAAGGCCTTGTGACAAGAGATTGCCTTTTTTAAAATTTTATTTTTTGGCTTGTATTTGTATCTTTAGTCCTTAGTACTCTACATGGCACATGTGCTTAATAAATGCTTGTTGACTTGACTTATTTAGTAACATAGTGGTTAATCGTGTTTTATCTTATAGAAAGTGGCTTTTAAAATGGCAGCAAAATAGAAAACAAAACAAACTTTTAAGACACATAGATAGGTGAATAAACAAATCTTTTCCAGGAGGAAAGAGGCAAGATAGGAAAGGAGAAAAGTGAGACATTACCAGTCTTTTTTCTGCCTCTCTATGTGTGCTTAACAGGCAGATTTTTGCTCAAACATGTCTCATGATGCTGCTCAGCCTTGTTTCTATTAACTCTTCTGCTTCTATGGCAATTTTTTTTGTTTGTTTTGTTTGTTTGTTTGTTTGTTTGTTTTTTACCATTTCTGCTCTTCCAAACTCTTACTGTCAAGTCCATGTGTCTCTGGCTGTGTCTTCTGGACTCATGGTTAATTCCCTGAGTGTTGAGGGGAACACTAGAGGATTTCCACCTTGACTGACAGGTGTCCATTTATGGTATCTGTATCTGTTTGGCAATCTAAGAGGACACTATAAATATGTAGTGGGTTGGAGGATAAACCCCCATGTGTAGCAAGTTTATTGGAGTTGACCACACTTACTTATAAAGTTTTTCCTCTGCTTGTCACTTGACTTGCTGCTATGTATTTAATTTTATCATCTCAAACTCCATGGCAATCTGAGAGTGCAAATGCATATTTTCTTTCTAATTAATACATTTTGCTAGATACCCCATCTCCAGTTAATTAAGTAATGGTTATTTAATGAAATGGAGAAACTTTCATTCCCAAAAATAAATACTTGACAATACCTCTTTCACCCAACTTCTTCTCTTCATTTACCTTCTTTTTACCTGCTCTCATCACCTCTTGACTAGTTCACTGCATTATCCTTTTAATTGCATCATGTTTCTCACCACTCCAGTCCATCCTACATTCTACCAAGATAATTTTTCTTTGGTGCAGATCTATGTGTCTCCCTACTAAATTAACTCCAGTGGCTTCCTATCTTATCTAGTATAAAATGCAAACTCCTCTGCTTAAAGTCCTGTACAACATGGCCCCAACCTGTCTTTCCAATTTTATTGGAAGTTGCTCCTACTTCCGTACTCTGTGATCTAGCCAAATTGGCCAGTCTCAACCTTTGCTCTGACTGACTCCCATGTCTATAATATCCTCCCTTCTTACTACCACATCATAGTCTTTTTTTTAATTTAATATGCAGCTCAAACACCATCTTCTGCATGAAGCCTTTCTTGACCTGTGAAATTTCTAGTGCTTTTTACCCCAAGTATTTAATGTTTTTTTTTATGTATTCACTTTATATTTATGTTTTTTCTCTTTCTCTGTATATATATATATATACATACATAAATACATACATACATACACTTGTCTCCTTCATTAGAATGTAAGCTCACTGTAAGTAGGAATTATTTCATTCTTTGTACTCATATTGCTTAGCACAGTAGCATGTATGAGGTGATTAATAAATGCTTGCTAATTGATTTTTAGATATATATTTCCATAAATATTGAAATTTCCAAATGCATCATTCATTAATGAATGAAATCTAATAAACACAAAGCTATGTATAAATATAAACATACATTTACAACATTTTGCCAAGTGAAAGTTCAGAGCCATAGTCACCCCAAACCTTAGTATAAGAATAGATGACTCCTTTTCACTTGCCTGAAAACAGCTCCAAACTAATTAGCTCATTCCTGATACTGATTTAAAAAAATTAAGAAACTTACATTTATCCTCAAGAGTTAGCTATATCTCAGAAAATAAGGTATAACTAGTCCTTTTTCTTTGTTCTTGTCTTAGTAATCATAGGAAAAAAGTAATTCCAAAATACACTGTACTTGCTAGCTCCTCACAGACTCTTTATAGAATTCTCTCTATGATTTTTTTTAAATAAAATAATCCTTGATAGGTCTGATGTAAAAGTTTCTTCATTTCTTTTTTCTCCACAGATTCCATATAGATCATAGATAAACACATAATTTCCCTGACACCATAAGGATAAACATTTTATAGCAAGACAATTTTTCAATTGACATCCAATTGCTAGCACAAACTCTTTTTCTCAATTTGACTCTTAAAGATAGAGTAATATTATTTATAATCTGAGGGAAAGCCAAGTAAAATAAAGAAGACATAAGAGATTAAAACAGTCCCATATATTCCAGAGTTCAGCATATCATTAACAATGATATTGAGGAGAATGGTCGAAATATATTGGTGTAATCACTGGTTAGATGATATTGGGGAAATCCTAACTGGTGAATGATAGTGGGGAGATGGTAACACGGCTAATATTAGGGTGGATATACTGGGTAAGGGCTTGTGAATTATAGTATTAGAAAGATGCTCCTAATCCCATGGCATTACCCTTAGAGCCCTCAGCAGAATAGTAGCCTTGCTCTGGACACCTAACCAGCTGGTCAGAGGGTGTCATTGGGAGATCAAGTATAGAGTTTAAATAGTTTATATCTGCTATGAGATGTTTACTATACCTTTTATTGAGCTCATTGCTGCATTAATTAATGCATCGATGACCTTTTGATTCATACTGACTCCTCTTCTTTGCATAATCTACATTCTAGCCAAATTGTATTGTGTCAGTCCTCTGATATTACTCTGCTCTCTCCTGATTTTAAAAAATTTGTTTGTGTGCCTTTCCCTCACACCACAGAGGTGTTTCTTCTTTGTGTATTCTTTATATTTATTTCTTACAAGGCCCAATTAGGGTTCTACACACACACACACACATACACACACTTCACATTTTTCTTTTGACCTTTCCTTTGTACATAGCTCATTCTTCCTCGTATCAGACTTAATTGCATAAGATTGTAAGCCCCTTGAGATCATAGCCCATCAGTTTCTATTTCTGTATTCCCAGCATGGATCACAGGGCCATGCACATAATTTCTTGTGCTGTTGACCATTCCTTCTCTTTACTTCATCTTCAAACTTTTCTTATCCACTGGATCCTTTCCTAAAGCTTATGAAAATGTTCTTCTCCCACATTCTTTTTTTTTTTTTTTTGTTTCGTTAACGGGGTTAAGTGACTTGCCCAGGGTCACACAGCTAGTGAGTGTTATGTGTCTGAGGCCAGATTTGAACTCAAGTCCTCCTGACTCCAGGGCTGGTGCTCTATCCACTCCCTCATTCTTTAAAACAAAACAAAAAACTCTTCATTTGTGCCCACTGAACCTAACAGTAATCGATTTATATCTCCTCTTCTTTTCACTACCAAACTCCCAGAAAGGACTGTCTACACTCAATGCACCTCACCTACCTCACTTCCCACTCACTCCTCATTCCTTTGCAAGCTGGTTTGCAACTCTTCCCCTAGATTGAAACTAGTCTCAGGCAGGCTAAACTAAATGCCCCTTTCTACATTCAGTTGCTGACCAACTGTCACTAACAGGTGGTTAGCACAAGAGCCCTGGGAGTGGCAACACCCTTTATGTACCAGTCCTACCTCCAGTCCAACTCTTATAGCTACCATCCAGAAAAGCAAGTTCTATGGAGAAAGGACCAGCCACCATACCAGCTGCAACCAAATGCCTCTCATAGGGCAGGAGAGCCAACTTAAATGACACTTCAAGCCTGCCTGAGGGAGAATCTAGAGGTAGCATACATAAGGCAAGTCAATCTACTGCCACTACCTCGACCACTATTTCCCCTCAGACTCTGATAGAGGCAGCCACAACCCTGAAACCAAGAGCCTTTGGAATAGCAGCAGGGCTTCTAGTTCAGAACCACAGCAGTTATCCTAGGAAGTAACTCCTTGTGGAGATGCAGCCTAGCAACTCACTCTGCAGACACTACAGCCATAGCTACTGAAACCCAGAAAAGAAAGCTCTTGTCACTAAAGTCCTTGGCACTGCCAAATGGTTCAACATCAGAAACTGAGATGATTTTATTAATGGAAATGTTATCAAAGAAGAGGCACATGCTTTGCGGTTGCCTCCTAAGGACAATGGACTTTTCCATCTGACTTGTAACTGACACCTTTCATATATGTTGTTTCCCCCATTATAATGTGAGTTCCTCGAGAGCAGGGATTGCCTTACTTTTCTATTTGTTTTCCCAGTGCTTAAAGAAAAGGAAAAAAAAGGGAAGACAGTCAAAAAAAGGAAAGAGGGTCATTGAAACATTTTAAAAATTCACAGAACAGAATAAAGTTCAGAAAGAAATAGACAAGTAGGATGGCTTTGAAAATGATGTGTTGAATATACAAAGACGCATAATAGAGAATATTGACTTCATATATAGGCCTCTCTGTTCTACTTTGTATATAGAAATCTTCATTTATTTTTTCAAAATAAATTTATAGAATTAAAGCAAAATTAATCTCTAGATAAAGTGACCAACAGGCTTTTCTGGAGGATCTAGAATTCCTTCCTTCTAAGAGGAAGCATCTGTAAATGAAAAGGCTTCATTTTCCTTTCTTAAAAATGTCAATCAAACAAGGTTTTCTTCTGCTACCTTCCACTCCTCACAATAGCTCAGAAATGTATTTTCCTCTTCTTTCCTGTACCACACTCTCATTTCCTCACTCTCATGTTTTATTCTTGAGGTCACAGAATTTGTCCTCTTATCTCTAAATCTAGTGCTTTCTTGGCCCTCCCCAGTCTTTGCTTTTTTGCTTCCCAAACCCAGATTCTGCTCCTACCTGTTACCTTTGCTCTTTTTTCCATCAAAACATCCAACATCAGTGCTCCCATGAGAAGTCTGTTAAAGGAGTTTGAAAGCCTAGCCAAAGGACCTGGCTTATTTCTCAGCACTGGACCATCTGAGGTTGAGCCAGAACGGAAGCATCAAGACCATACATACACATAACACCAGTTTCTTCAAAGATGCTTCAGCATATGGAACCAGCTCAGGCTAACAGGACACCAAGCCAGGAATGTTAGGGCAGGATTAGTTGCCAGAAATGCCAAGAAGAGTGACTTGTCCAGGATGAAGGCCTGCCAGGGAACACATGCTCAGTCCTTATATACTCAGCTCATTCTCTAGCCCAAGAGAGGTTTTTAGGAAGTAATGTGGTTCTCAAGTGGGTGTGTTTAAACTCTTCACATGTTGCAAATGATTTCCTGTAAAAACCTGGTTCTTTACCAACTTATGAAAGCTCTACTGCCAATCTGAACATAGTTTATATTTCTATACTTCAATATCAACAATGTTACGAAATACATAACATATGAGTATTAATGCTCCCATTTTACAGGGAACTAAGGCTCCTACACGTGAAGTGACTTGCTCAGGGTTACTTGCCTACTTACTTTTGAATGTCAGGGACCTAAACTGAATTGTCTCATAAACATCCCAAGGGCAGTGACGGAAAAGAATCAGTAGTAAAGAGTATGATGTAGTAGAAAGCTTTAGACTTAAAAAGACTTGAATTGGAATTTTAGCCACTTTCTAGTTGTGTGATTCTGTGCAAGTCACTCCACATTTCTAGCCCTCAGTTTCCCCATCTATAAAATTACAAAGTTAGCAGAAATTCCCAAACTTATCTAGTCTACTGCCCTCTTTAAAAAAAAAAGTTACTCAGCACCTTCCTGGAAATCTACTTTTCTTTAACCCTTTAATGTTTTTTTAAATTTGTGTCATTTCAAAAAATATATATAAAATATTTTTAAGTGATGCATCTTAAATTTAACAATTTATTGTAAATTTGTGGGGTTTTCCCTGCATTGAAATTTTGATGACACAATATTGCATCATGTAATCATACAGTATCATATTGCAATCAAGTCATCACAATACATATTCCTGCTGATGCATGCTGGACTTCCCGACAATGCGTTACAGGGACCTGTTGATGGACTTGACCACTGATTGGTTTTAACTTGCATTTATCACTATGACTTTAACTCTGCTATAGAACAGACGAAGAACGTACAAACAGTTTTTCAAAATTTTCTTCTCTTTTCTTCTTTCCTTATGCTTCCATTGCCCCCTTATTTTTATTCAACACCCCACAATTACACCCGAGGCTACTACCATCCCCAAGAATTGGTCCAGCACCCCCAGGGGTGGTATTGCCCACTTTGGGAACCTATGGACTAGATGATCTCTAAGGTCCTTTCCACTTTTTACAGATGTTTTATGTTCTAAGGTCCTTTCCAGTTCCTGTGCTTGTATTTTAAAGTTTATGTTCAGATCTGTTTTTTTCATCAATCCTGATGAATGCTTGAAAACAATGCTTGAAAGTCTTCTCTTCTGTGAACAGGATTTATTCCCCCTGTAAGATTAAACTCAATTTTGTAAGGAAAGTTATTCTTGGATGTGTCATTTTCTTTTTTTTTCTTTTTTTGTCTTTTGGAATATTGTATTGAAAGATCTTCTATTGTTTATAGTAGCTGCTGCTCCTATACCTACCTTGCTGTGATTCTTTGGTACTTGAACTTATTCTTTCTGGATGCCTGCAGAATTTTTTCTTTGATTTGGAAACTCTGGATTTTGCATGTGAATTCCTTTTTGTTTTCAGTTTGGGTTTCCTTTCAGGAGGTGATTGCTGTATTCTTTCTATTTTCACTTGCTTTCTGATTCTAATAGATCTGGATAGTTTTCATCTACGATTTATTGAAATATACAGTCCTGGATTGTTTTGGTCAAGGTTTTCAGAGAGACTTAAAAATAATAATTCTTAAATTAAATAATAATAACTATTAAATTATTTGCCTCAAAACTATTTTCCAGGTCAGTTGCTTTTGCTAGTAGGTAGTAGATCCTTTCCTCTATTTTGTCAGTCTTTTGATTTTTTTTTTTTTTACTATTTCTTGTCATCTCTTGGAGTCATAGAGTTCTATTTGCTCCATTCTATTTTAAAATCTACCTTCCTCCTTAATTCCTGGTTCCTTACCCTGCCCCCTAATTCCTGTGGTCTATTGGCCTTGGCCGGTTTCTGCCTGCTTCTCCTCCTACAATCCTTAATTAAGAGTTGGTTCTAGGGGCAGTTGAGTAGCGCAGTGGATAGAACACCGGCCCTGTAGTCAGGAGGACCTGAGTTCAAATCTGGTCTCAGACACTTGACAGTTACTAACTATATGACCCTGGGCAAGTCACTTAACCCCAATTGCCTCACTCCACCCCCCCCCAAAAAAAGAGTTAGTTCTATCCCCTGTGCTGTGATGGTGCCTAGTGGGATATTGGAGAGCATGCTTATTTTGGGCTTCTTGCACAGCCCCCCAGGTGTTGGTACCCAGGTTTGAGCTGGTCTGTTCTCCTGCTGAAGCTCTCAGTGCCATGAGACCAGGTTCTGTCTCCCTGGAAAGTAACCTTTGGGAACTGATTCTGTCACCTCCACTTCTGTTCTTTCAGTCCTGGGCCAGGGTTTGATAATCAGGTCCCTGATTACTGGAATTACAGAACTGTTCAGAATGCTGGTTGGCTTCAGGTCTGTTTATAGATGCTCGTGCTGGATCCCTGGCCTGGTTCATCTCTCTGCCTCTAATACTTTCTGGCTGTCTTTTTATATATTTCTGGACCAGAACAGCACCCTACTTCTGTTTCTCTTTAGTTTTCTTTATCACTGGTTTTTCTGGGATCTTTTTCAGATATTTTCTGGTACTCATGTGAGAGAGATGGGCTTCTTTGGTACCTTTCACCTTTTGGAAGTCCCTACAACTAGTCTATCTTTAGCCTGAACTCTGAAAGTTTTCTTTTTTTTTAAAGAAAAATTTTTTTTATCACAATTTTCTCATAGTGGAAAGTATAAAACATTTTACATTTGTTTCCCATAATATCTAACAGGGGTAAGTGCTCATTACATTTAAATGTCTACTCTTTAAAAATTAATTCCTGATGGTCAATGAAATGTTCAATACTTATCGATAATGAAAAAATATTTGAATTTATTACTTTTTATAAATAAAACCGAGTTGACTTTATCTTTATTATGTTAATCACCTACTAGATTTCCCCCATATAATAAAGAAGGAATAGGTAGAAATGTGATGGTTCTGAATATGTTTGGGAAGCTACTATACCAAAGGTTTGAATTCTGTTTCCCAGTAAAGTTTGTGATAACCTCTTAAGTTTCTGTCAAAATTATATGCCAATGTTAGTTCCACATCTAAAAATGATGGCAGTAATATGAAACACTTGTGTCCTCCTCATCAAAACAAGGTGAAGGATTTGTGACATTTTCACTATAATTCCAATAATGTTTTACAAACTGAGCAGTATATCCAGCAGTCAGTTTGTAGGGCCAAAATCTCTTAAATAATCCACTAACTTTTGAATTCTGTCCCTTTATTTGAGCCAGCCAGTGTTATGAACAGGAAGGTAGCAAGCCAGTAAGAACTTTGGTAATCTGGACCTGAGGCCAGGTCCTATAGCCCTACACTATCAGGGGAGCCTGACCCCTCTCCCATAGGTCGTACTTGTTTCTACCAACAGTGAGATTTAGGAGGATCTTATAAGCAGAAAAGCTTCTAATACTTAAAAAAAAATTGTATCCTGTTTTCAGTTCTATATTTAACCACAACATGGTTCACGTAGAAAAGAACTGGGGAGGAAAGCCAGTAGGCCACAAACCCAGGATGAGTCAAAAGCAGGACTGGAGTTCAAAGAGCTAATTGAACTACATAGAAGTAGAGGCTTCAGAATGAGGGAGGTGATGATTTTGTTCTCTTGTCTCTATTACATCATATCTAGAGTATTGTGGTCAGTTCTGAGTGACATATTTTAGTAACAGTGCTGACAAACTGATCATGCAGAAGAGGTCAACCAGGATGTTGAGGTAATTGGAGGATGTGTTGTACAAGGATCCATGAAAAGAAGTGAGTATATTTAATATGAATAGAAGTCTTAGGGAAGGTATGGATACTATCTGCAATTATCTGAAGGGCTGTCCTAAAGGAGAGGATGCTGACTTGTTCTATGTGCTTCCAGAGGGCAAAACTAGGAGAGAATGTTTCAGAGGTGTCCAAAAACAGAATGGGCTATCTTGGAGCTCTCCATCACTGGTCCAAACAGAAGCTAGATGGCATCCCCAGTAGGGACAATGGTCTACAGTGGGCAAGATGAAGGATTAGAGATGCCTTCCAAATCCTAGATGCTTTGATTCTATGATCACTACGTAGAAAGAACACACTTGAAAAGCTTTTCACCATAAAGCTAACTATTTAACATGTGTAGACGACAGAGGAATAGTCAAGTCATAATTGGCCCAGGTCTTATTATCTAATATATGGATACTCTGGACTTTTTTCTTAAAATCTTGCATTTGGAAGGGAACTTGGAAGGCACTTGATTCAACTCCTCCCTGGATAAGCATCCAAATCTACAATATTCCTGAAAATTTATTGTCCAATTTTGGCTTAAACACCTCCAGAGGGCAGGAATGCTCTACCACTGTAGACTTCTCTTTCTCTTCTTCCCACATTCTGGACATCTTTCTGCTCCCAGGCCCCATAAAGAACAAGCATCATAAAACCAAAAGAACTAAGTTTGGATCCTAGGATGATAGGGCATTATGGGAAATACAGCATATTTGGTGTCAAAGGACTTTGGTTTGAATCTAAGTTCTGTCACAACCTGTGTGACCTTGGATAAATCACTGAACTTTTCAGTTTTCTCATCTATAAAATGAAGGAGTTGGTGTCAAATTCCAATAGAGGTGTGTGTATGTGGGGGGTGGGGGGTCAGGAAGGTTGGAAAACTATAAATAAGGACCCCTGCAGGTCACATATTTACTTAGAAAACCACATGTCAACTTTATATTCTGTTTTTTTTTATTTTGTTAAATATTTCCCAATTTTGAACTGTTTCTAGCTGGCTTTAAGAATGTTGCCAGCAATGCAGCCTGTGGAGGTGTTTGACACCTCTAGTCTATGTTAAGTTATCTCTTGAGTCCCTTACAGTTCTATATCGATAATTCTTTGATCCTATCCATGGCTAAATGACCATGCTTGACACATATTAAGTGTTTAATAAATGCTTGACTGACTGAATAACTGACTTGTTATTGGGGCTATGGAGAGAGTAGTCCAGTTCAAATACAGGTGTGACT